ATTTTACATAATCATCAAAGTGAATCGATTTTTTCACAACGCCGGATTTAATGCTTTTGGCTTTTTTAATAAAGTCTTTATTTTCAACCCGTACGCTGTACATCTTACTCCGCAAGCCAACAAATTCGGTAACGATCTTGCCGTTACATTCGTCTTTCATTAGACCGATAATCTTTTTGTTGGCTTGCGGAATGCCGTACACGTTGTTTGCGGAATAGTCTGACGTATCAAACTTTTGGATGTTATTTTTCATATCTTCGTATATATTTTTACATTTGATTTCGTAGATTAGACTGTCTGTATCGGTATACATCAGTTTACAATTGTCGCCGTATTTTTTTAACATATACCCGTAGTGAAAATCGTAGATTAACGTCTTGGATACGTCAAGCACACTTAACCCCACGTAGATCGGTTGGTTGAATAGTACCTCGGTTTTACGCAGTTCATGGCAACCAGATTTTCGTCGAATATCGCTCGACTATGGAAGTTGGGTCGAGAAATAAGGGCTTCAGCTCCATAGCGGCCAAACCATTAGGTGACAAGCTTAATGTCGACATCTTTACGGAAATTTTCCATTGTTTTGCCGTACACAGCGTTGTTCATGAGCTTGAACAAATTTTTCTCGAACTCATTCTTGGCGTTGGTTCGCATCATCGTATTATAGTCGATGTATGGTTTAAACCATGTTGATTGCTTAAACTGTAAGACACGGTGGATTTTTACAAGTTTAATGCCATTAGCAACAACTTGTTTCAACGTTCGGTAGTGGATAACATATTTTTCTTTGGGTTGGAGAGTTGTTAATAATTTCTCCTGTCTCGAGAGGGGGGGTTTCGCATTTTCTGCGCAAAATGGCATGTCTTTGTGGGTTTCGTGAATACTTTTAGGATACTCCAAGTCAACTTCGAGTATGTATCCAACAGGTGAATCGTCAGATACATTAAAATTAAAAGAGTCGTCGACATTTTCAATCCATTTGAAGCCGCCATAAAGGAGCGCTTGAGCCATTTCCCAGCCATATAAATTGTTGGCATCAAAGTACCAGATATAGCTTGTATCTTTGCTATCATCGAAATTTTCCATATATGGATTATTCGCTTTTGTATATCGGTTGCAGCATTAACTTATACCACCTCTAATACCAGACTCAACAAACATAATCATATCGATATCGGTTATAAGTTGCAATGAATCGAAATTTGACCTCACTCCCCTTGATATGTTTAGTAAAAGAGATATACTTCTCTTTGTTAATGAGGAGGAGGTCAATTTTTCCTTCAAAGCTCGTCGAGATCGCGTGAATTATAAAATGGGCATCATAGCCACTTAAGTTGTGGAACACCACGGGAATTGTCTGACAGTCTTAGTAGTTCAGATTGCATGATTCATGGGCAGCACCCCTATATTTGCCAGTAAGGTGACAGTGATCGCGGACTTTCTTCTCGCTTGCCGGTATTTTCTCATGACAAATGTGACATATTGTCGCTCGCTTAAAATCATTGATTTCTTGAGGAGTTAAGGCATTCATTGGTATCGGATTTTTAAAAACATTATCAATTTTTTTAGATAATTGCCCTAATTCCTCAGTAAACCATTTTGCAGGGTCAGATTCATTTTTCGGACACGGCACATATTTACATAATGATTTATCGTAGCTACATTTTGTATAATAGCCGATGCTTAACAATTTGTGGCGCTGGAATACTTCGGTTTTACTTAAATTGTCTACATCTTCATCTGCGGGAAGAAGTAGACTTTCGCAGTCGGCGTATATTACATACGGTACTTTCTCTTTATTGTTATAATTTTTAAATATGATCAGACTCATATCAGGCGTCGGTAATTTAATTTTACACTCATTCATTTTTTTACAATTTTCAATGTGTGCGTTCAATCTATCTACAGATAAAAAGTAGTGTAAACAGCGGTCACAGATATGTTTTCGATGTGCCTTCTTCGATAATTGTTTAGACACTAGGCGTGACAGATCCTTAATCCATACATAATGGAAGTTTATAAAATTATCGTCGTCATAAAATACAGTATTATCATCACTTTCATCCACATACATGTCGTCAACATACAAGAGATTTACATGCTTATCTCTTTTTTCCGCAGTGAGATGGAGAGGGTGTACCGTAAAGTTACCGTAGCTCTTTGATAGACCGTACACATTAATCGAAACATCATTAAGCTTTTAAAATTTCGGGATATTTTTAAGCGTCACTGGAAAATCTATACCATAAAAATTCAATTCATCTTTAAATTTTTTACATTCTCATCACATAAGAAAGTATTAGTTTTGGTCGAAAATTGACTTTTGCTAATTTCATGAAATCTCGACGTTTTAAGGGCCCCCTGAACCCGAAAAATATGGTCTGGCGAGTTCGCCTGTCTGTGTGTCTGTCTGTCTGTATGTATGTATTAGGGTGTCCGTTATTTCCCAAGTTAGCTATTTTCATTTGGGTATCGTCAAAATCGTTTCTTTTTGACCTAAAAACAATTCTAGAAATTAGAAAAAAATTTTACAATGCTGTTTAACCCATTTAATTAACATGGGGTTTTTGCACTTTTTAGAAAATAATTTTTATTTCGTTTATAATACTCTTTGACTTACCAACAATGCTTGATTTTGCTTCTATTATGATTCCTTTAGATAGAGAAATTTTCATATTATCGCGAAAAATTTATAACACAAGTTTTAAAAAGTCAATTTCATTTTTATTGATTTTTCTGATTATTTTGCTAAATCTACTCATTAATTAATTTTTATTCGGTATTTCATTGAAAGTTTCTTGTTTTATGCATACAATTGGAACATAATAATAATTTCAATTCATAAACTATACAAGAATCACACAGTAGACTGAATCCATTTCAAATCAGGCATGTCGACTAACTTCACGTTATAAAAAAAAATTGTTTTGCTTGTCATTTTTTTTCTTTTGAGTATAATTTAATTTTCTTTCTTGAGTCTTGTAAATGGTCTTGTCTTCTTCAGAACCCAGTTTGAAATTTAAAAAAATATTTAAAATTATAAAAATAGGGGATGATTTTCTGAAAATAAATAAGATGAATTTTTTCAAAAACAGCACCTTTTTTGTTATCAAATTTTTACTACAAATTCTTAAAATAATTATTAACATTTCCTATGAATTTCAAGCGGGCTAAATCATTCTTTCAATCAAGAGAATTTTTTTAAATATTTATTTTTGCAAAATTTCAAATTGATAACTTGCATTTTTAAAAACAAATGAATCGTTATAACATTGCTGACGTGATCGTTAACAATTTGAAAATTTGTAAAAATAAATTTTTCAAAAAAAAATTCTCCTGATTGCCAGAATGGTATAGCCTGCTTGAAATTAATAGGAAATGTTCATAAGTATTTTAAGAATTTGTAGTAAAAATTGGATAACAAAAAAGGTGGTGTTTTTGAGAAAATTGATCTTATTTGTTTTCAGAAAATCATCACCTATTTTTAAAATTTTAAATATTTTTTCAAATTTCAAACTAGATTCTGAAGAAGACAAGACCATTTACAAGACTCAAGAAAGAAAATTAAATTATACACAAAAGAAAAAAAAATGACAAGCAAAACAAATTTTTTTTCTATAACGTGAAGTTAGTCGACATGCCTGATTTGAAATGGATTCAGTCTACTGTGTGATTCTTGGATAGTTTATGAATTGAAATTATTGTTATGTTCCAAATGGATGCATAAAACAAGAAACTTTCAATGAAATACCGAATAAAAATTAATTAATAAGTAGATTTAGCAAAATAATCAGAAAAATCAATAAAAATGAAATTGACTTTTTAAAACTTGTGTAATAAATTTTTCGCGATAATATTAAAATTTTCTCTATCTAAAGGAATCATAATAGAAGCAAAATCAAGCATTGTTGGTTAGCCAAAGAGTATTATAAACGAAATAAAATTTATTTTCTAAAAAGTGCAAAAATCCTATGTTAATTAAATAGGGAAAGTATTGTTATTTAGGCAGGGTTAAACGGCATTGTAAACATTTTTTCTAGTTTCTAGAATTGTTTTTAGGTCAAAAAGAAACGATTTTGACGATACCCAAATGAAAATAGCTAACTTGGGAAATAACGGACACCCTTGTATGTATGTATGTCCGTCTGTAGACCAAAATGTTGTTCCCACGATAACTGTTTAAAAACTTATCGGATCGTTTTTAAATTCAACACACTTAAAGTTAGTGTAAAAATGAAGGCTAAGTTCGTTAACCAGCCATTTTCGTTGAAAACTACAAAAACTACACTAGTTTCAAAATTTTGAAAATTCAATTTTTTCACATTTCAATGCTATTAACTTTATATTCTTTTAGATTAGGAAAATACAAACAACTTTTCTTTATAACATTTTTTCATAAAAACTCAATTTTCGAAGTTATAGTCTCTTAAATGGTAAAAAAAACTAAAAAAATCCCAAAATAACACTGAAAATCTAATTTTTGAAAGGAATAAAAGTCAGTTAATTGATTTTGACATATCCTCACCCTAAAATACTCGAAAAACATACTTATACCGTCAGCAAGGCATAACCATGGGAAAAACAGTTGTCAAATATTTTCAAATTTATAGATTCTGTTCCAAAGAAAAAAAACCCTGGCTTAACACAAAAATATATTCAGCAAGGCCAAGCCATGGTCAAAGCAGCTGCAATATTTTCGCATTTTTTAAGATTCTGTTCCATGGCAAAACCCTGGCAACATCACTTTTAAAATATTTGATAGTTAAGAAAATGTCTTCCATGACTGAACCCTGGCTGGAAACAAAAATCGTACTATTTATTCGTTTAATCGAAAATCTAAAAAATAGGTAAAAAAGAAAAAAGTAGCTTTGATTTTTTTTATCAAATAACTTTTATTTAGTGCACGATTAGTTTGTTGAAACTGTTTTTTATTTTTTAACATATTAACAACAAAATTTTGCTTAAAGCATATTATTTATTCTTATTTCTAAACTTGAAACCATTTTTTTTTAATTTTATATATCTTCAACTTTTCTTTTTTTGGCAACTGTTGACTTTGAATCTGAATCTGGTTCACTGTTTAAAAAATATTTTATGAGCCCAGTAATGTTATGATATAGTTTTTTAGAAGATTAGACAATAATTAATATAAGTTAGGTATATTGTACTTTTTTGATAAGAAGTTACTTTAAAGATTAATAAAATTTTGAATTTTTAAATGGTTTTCTAATAATGTAATGACAAATTTAAAAGTTTATCTAATTTTAATAAATATCCATAATAAAGGTTAAGATGTAAATTGATAAATATTAAGTACTCTGTTAAATTTTCGAATTAAGTGTTGGAGATTTCAATTATTTCTTTTCTAAATATTGAATCTAAATTTTTTTACTAAACGCAAAATACCTAATATCTTCCTCATCTTGACTTTGAGAATCATTGTCTTTATGATCATTAATTTCTGGATTTCTCAATTCGTATTCTTCGTCATCACTTAGATCTGTTTTATTCTTCTGTTTATCATTACCCTGATCATTTTTATTGCCTTTACGAATTTTCTTTTCTTTTTCATCATCTTTCTGTTTTTTTGGGTTGCGTAATGTGCAGCACTGGTTATTAATTGTATCCACAAATTTTTCGTACAAAAAGCCCTTTGCTTTATCTTTAACATAGTCTAAATAATATTTAAAATTGTGAGTCAATATTATACTTAACAGAATTACTGAATTTTTCAAAGAATTTAATTTTAGATTAAGTTAAATAAAAATAAATTTAAATTTAATTAATTAAAAATAGCAAGTTATTTAAAAAATACGCACTGTAAACAGCATTCCTTATCTGCTCAGGTACAGCTTTTCCAGTTTTTCCTTTTCTTCCAAAGCCAAGAGCAGTCATTGATTTGAGCTCTTCTCGCCCTACCAATTCAATTAATAAGCGACGAACCATTTCTTCCGGCCTTTTTTTGAATCGTGAAAATTCCACCTCTTTCGATTTACTAAATTCAAGTGCGCCATTTTTTACCATCACTGATCTTGACGTTGAAACAATATTGTTTGAGGATGACGGAATCAAAAACTATATTTTCATATAAATTTAATAAAAATTGGATTAATTGTCATACTTTTTAAAAATTACTGAACCTTTTCCCTAAGGTTCAGTAATTTTTAAAATGTAAGACACTTTTAAACGCTAAAATAAATTTTGAATAGAAAAAAGAATGTCTTTACCAAAGACTAATCTTGGCTTCAAAATCATCTTTGTTTCTGGAAAGTCAGATGCTTTTAACACTAATAACACATTATAGGATTTCATAACCAAAAACGTCCTAAATTAAGACGTTTTTGGTGTCTAAGACACTAAAAACGTCTCAAAATAAAACACCTCTTTTTGTAGTGAAAACCTATATTTTTTACTATATGTACTACTTTTAAAAATTAAATTTTCTACTATTAAAACTCCAGCTTGTAAACCAAGGTTATATCTTGCATAAAGACATGCCTAAGCTGACAAAATAAAATTGTAAAATGTAACTAACTGGATTAATTGCAGATTCATTTCCATTTTATTTTGCTTGAGCATATACTGCAAGCTGCTGCAGGAACGCAGCAATTTCAGGAGTTACTAGAAAATAAATAATGTTTCTAGCTGAATTTAATAAATATTTAAGAATAATTTTGTCATAAATAAGGTCCAATTACTTAATATTAATCGATGAGTGTTATAATAGTGTAAAAATGTTTGCAACAGTTCACTTTAAATTTGGCATCTTTAAAAAACAAATTCTAACCTGTTGGAAAACATAGATTTTCAGCTTCTGATACATTATTAATTTGACTATTTGAATTCTTCATAGTTAAATTTTCATGTAGTTGAGAACTTTCTTGATTTTTCACTGATTCAGCGTCAATTAAATCAGAATTTTCATCTTAAAAGGAATTTTTTCAGTTTTTAATTAACTAAATTAATTAATTAACTAAACATATTAAAAAAATGTTTAATTTTCTTTTCGTAATATTTAACAAAGTCCAAAAAGAATTTGTCATAACTATTACACTTTCTTTACAATAAAAGTTAAAAAAACTTTGTTTTTTACCAATTCCGCACCACAAAGTCCTTATAATAGTAAATGTATCGTTTTTTGAAGTATAAGGAAAGTATTGTTGAAAGTTCTCAAAGTATTATAAAAAAGTTTGTTTTTCAGTGAAGTCTCAACTTTTTAATAAATTTTTTTTTTAATTTTTGGTAAAAAAATTCCATTTTATAAAGAAATCCCGGTCTTTTAAAACAAAAGTTATTTTTAACTCTCAAAGCACTTACAGGGACTGTGTGATACTGTTTCTAAATTTAAGTTTAAATTTAAAACAGAAGTAAGTTAGTTTATAATAAGTTAGTTTGTAAGTCAGTAAGTAAGTTATTTAGTTAATATTATTTTAACAAATCATACTTGGTTTTGATTTGAAATACAATTAAATTTATAGTAAAAAATAACACCAAAATAGATCATTTTAATCTTTTCTAGGGTTAATTTAATCCACTCCTCTTTTTAACACCTGCCAATTTACTGTGTTTATATTTACATTTTTTTCTGACTTTACTGTAATATTTATATTTTAATATTTTACCTCCTGATATTATATTCTTCTGAATTTCAGATCCATTAATATTATGAATTTCGTCTTCTGAACTGTCGCTTTCATAGTTTCGCGAAATATTCTTTTTGATGGTTGATGGATTCTTAGCATTTGCAATTCTTTTTGAATTTTTACCTTCAATTGTCATTAGAAAACATTTCTATTAAATACTATTCTCAAATTATATTATATTCATTATTACTAGTAATTAATTATGTTAATAAATAATTATTTTCTGATTCTACTATTTAGTAATATTACCCCCTTCCTTGTCTCCTTTGTTCAATTTCTTCAAATCTGATATTGAGGTTTCATCAAAAGGTTGATTGTTTATATCGGTTTGAACTGTGTTTCTCTTCTTTTTTTTATTATTCTTGTTTTCGGAAGGATTAAGTTTTCTCGGTGAGGCCAAAGAATTTGAGCTGGAAGGCTTAATTTTCGGGAGTCTTTTATCTGCTGAGATGTTTTTAAAATTATTTTAACTTACGAGTCAAAGAAGAAATAATTGTGAAAATCAGATTACCCAGAAAAAATTGAATCAATTAAATTTAAAAGAACATTTCTAATTTTAATTTACAAAAAAATTAGGAGAAATTAAAATTGAAGGGAAAAGTATTTCGAGAAACTTTTGCTTTGTCTAACAATGTTTTTTCTTTTTGATTGAAAGTTACTTTTATTTATATTTATTCACATTTATTTTATTTATCTTTACTTTATTTTTCATACATTAATTTATTTATTCATTTATTTACTTACTTACTCATTTATTTGATTATTTCTTTCTTTCTTATCAAAAATTTAATTAAAGAATACTTTCAAATTAATTTCTGTTTATTATTTCAATAAGATTTTGCCTTGTCTAATATTTTTTTATTAAAAGTTAATTTTATTTATATTTATTTACCTTATTTTATTTTGTATACTATACTGTTATTTATTTACTTATTGATTTATTATATTTATTAAGCTTATTTTATTTTTTTATAAATTTATTTACTCATTTATTAGTTTATTTCTTTCTTTCTAAAAAAATCTCATTTTTTCAATAAAAATATTAGATTATGCAGAAAAAATTAAATTAATTACATTAAAAGGTAAAAATTTATGATTATAATTTAGGGTAATGTCACATTGAGTGGACCGCCACTTTGAGTGGACCACCTGAGCTTTTAAGTTATCTGACAGCGGAAATATGAAATAAATAAAACGAATAGCAGCACCGCACTTAGAAACCGTAAGAAATTAAGTTCCGCGATAAACATGTACGTTATTGTTTGATGTAACGCATTTTTAAGAATACAAACCAAAAAAGAAGTCACTCTTACAATGAGTAAAGTGATTCAGAAGTGTAAAAGTAATGTAAAATTTAAGTTTTAAAAGGTAACTTATTTTTTTCCTACTACTTTGGACATTGAAATTGATTGTCTTAGTTTAATTAAGTGATAATTTTGAGTAAAAAAAAATTGTGGTGGCTGCCATAAAAAGTTGTATTTCACTATGAGTGGACCACTGTTTATAACCGTGAGAGGAGCCTGTTTTTTATATTTTTAATGTCAGTTTACCATTTTTAAGGAAATAAATTAACAATAAATTGGTTTGAAACTATGTTTTATGTTCTTTATTAATTTTTTTGTGATATTGATGTGATATGTGCCAAAATTATTAAAAGTGGTTTCACTTGTAAACATTGCGACACAATCATGGTCTGAAGCTGCATAAGCATAAATTTTGTTTTAATATATCAGAAATATTAAATAAATTAAAGAAATTAGAATAACTTTTACAATTTTTTAGGAGTGGTCCACTCAAGGTTACACTTTTTTCATTCCTTAAAAATTAGCTATTTTTTTAAAGTCAATTGTTTTTTCCAAATAAAAATAAAACAAAGCTATTATGGTGTAAACACTTACCTTGGGATCTAAACTAAAGCATGGAATAGAAACCTCCGATTAATTTGCTTTCATAAAGAATTTTTTCGAAAAAAAGCTTAGACGGTCCACTCAAGGTGACATTACCCTACAACTAAATTTATAGAAATTAAAATTAAAGAGCAAAGTATTTCAACAAAAACTTTTGATGTATCAGTTTAATGTGTTTTTCTTTTTGATTAGAAGTTAATTTTATTTATATTTATTTTATACTTTTAATTATTTATTTATTCATATTCATTTATTTACTCGTTTATTTGTTTATCTCTTTCTTTGTTAAAAAGATTTCATTACGTAATGAATATTTTCAAATTAATTTATAGTTATTATTTCTACCAATTGGTGATACTAATATTTTTTTTATTCTGCTTCTATTATTTAGTAATATTACCCTCCCGAGTCGAACTTTTAGACCTGCTTACCTCCTGGTAAGTATAATTTAACCCTAACCTGCACCTAACAAACCCTTGGTGTTTTTTTCCTCCTGCGTAAGTTCTATTTAACTCTGACAACTCCTTTTCAAGTCCTAATTGAACCTAAAACCCTGTATTGCTTCTACCACATTCTTACGCAATAGGAAATGTTACGCGCGGTACAAGATATTCAACTTATTATTGTTTTGCAAATTACAAAATTTTTTATTTTGAAAATTTCACGAAAGAATTCAATTATTTTCTAAAATTTTAATAAATCCTTCGAAAAAATTCAATTATTTTTATAAATAGTAAAATTCTTCCGAAGAATTCAATTAATTTTATAAATAGTAAAATTCTTTGCAGGAATTCCATTATTTTTAAAACAATTTTAATTGAATTCCTTAGATGAATTCAAATATTTTAAAATATTTTCATAAATTGCAATTATTTTCTTAAACTTTAATAAATTCTTCGAAATAATTCAACTATTTTTATAAATACTAAAACTCTTTGCAAGAATTAAATAATTATTAACCCAATTAAAATAAAATTAAACGAAAGAATTTAATTATTTTCAAAAATTCCCATAAAATTTAGTTTCAACAAGAATTTAAAATTTTTGAAAAACAATTTAATTATTCTCAAAATATTTAAAAAAAATTCTATATAAGAATTAAATTACTAGCTCAATAAAATTTTTGAATATATTCGTCAAAAGAATTGAAATAATTCTATTATTTTCGAAAAGTAATTAAAATTCTTATGATGAATTCAATTATTTTGAATATACTTAATTTTAATAAAATTCTTTAAAGAAATTCAATTATTTTCGAAACAACTTTAATTGAATTTTTCGAAAAAATTTCATGATTTTTAAATATTTCTATAAAATTCTTCATAAACAATTTAATTATTTCTTAAAATTTTAATAAATTCTTCGCAAGAAATCACTTATTTTCAATACAATTTTAATAAAATTCTTCTTCATAAAATTCAATTGCTTTCGAAATTTTCAATTAAAATTATTAAAGAAACTCCATTAGTTTAAAAAAAAATTTAATTAGGATTTTTAAAAATATTAATAAAATTCTTTGCGAGAATTTAGTTATTTTTCTAAATAAAGAAATTCTTTGAAGGAATATTCTATTATTATCAAATTTTTTGATAAAATTCTTTGCAACAATTCGAAGATTTTCAATACATTAATTTTAAAATTGAAAATATTTGAAAAGAAAAATTAAAAAAAGATTAAGAAACCAAAATGTAAACAACAATTAACTTCAAACTGCGAATAGGTTACCGAAACATGTACTTTTTTATTATTAATTTATAAATATTATTTTTAACTGAAATGTTTTGCCATTTTTTTTTAAATAATAAAAATATTAATTTATGAATGTTTAAAGGTTATTATTATTAAACAATTTATTTATTTGCTGTAGTGTATTAGTGTCAATTAATGCTTTATTGAATCACTCAACAAGTCACTGAAAATAGAGCGTCTGTGTTCAGTTAGGTTCCGTAGCATAGTGGTTAGGGCGTTAGTTTCGTAGTCCGTAGTTCGTAGGTCGTAGGTTCAAGTCTCGCGTGCGTTAGATTTTATTTATTTCGTAGGTTTGCGTTTATTCCGATTTTTCTGTATTGTA